TTTTTTTTTGCCTTTTTGAGACAGGGTCTTGCTATGCAGTTCAGTCTGGCCTTGAGCTCACTTTGTTGCCCAGGCTGGTCTCGAACTTGCAACTCCTCCTGCCTCAGCCTCCTGAGTGCTGGGATTACAGGCATGTGCCACCATGCCAGGCCTAAAATTTTTTAATAGTGACAATTTTCCACTAAAACTTGTGACAACAGGAAATTTTAAAAAGCAATGATGTAGAAAAATTATGTAAGTCGTAAACAAAGTGGTTTTAACACTCCTAACAATACCTAACCCAGCTCAGCTCACTTATCAACAAATGCTGGACATCAAAAATTGGGCTGTGGGCTAGGGATGTAACTCAGTGATAGAGTACTTGCCTAGCACCCAAGCAACCTTGGTTCAATCTCTAGTACTACAATTTTTTTCTTTGAAAAAAGAGAAAAAAAGAAAAAGAGAAAAAAAAAGAAGAAAAAAATTGTGCACAGCACATTTCCCTCTTCAAGTAATGGCATCTTAGTATCATTGCTTTTTTTTTTTTTTTTTTGGTCTTTTTGAGACAGGGTCTCGCTATGCAGTTCAGGCTGGCCTTGAGTTCCCTTTGTAGCCCAGGCTGGTCTCAAAGAACTCCCAATGACCCTCCTATCTCCAGCCTCCCGAGTGCTGGGATTACAGGCATGTGCCACCACACCCGGCTCTGAAACAGCTTATCTCTAAGAGTAAAGAGTTATCTATTATAGGGATGTACTCCTATGTAATAACTAATTGTAGGTTAGTTTCAGCTATTTGTATTAATAGAGACTTCATGGCCCACGTTTGGGGGTCCCCGACTGAAGGCAGTAGTTCAGTTATTTGACTTACGGATATAAGCTGACATTTCTTGTACATTACATTCCTAAAAGGTAAATCACCATTTCCTTAACTCTAGTATTCCCAGCACCCAGCTCAACTGTCGGCACAGTCAGACAGTATTTGGTAAATGGAATAACTTCTATAAAACAGGGGCATGGGGTGAATGGTGTGCCCTTCCCATCCCAATTCATATGTTTAAGTGTCTCCCCCAGTAACTTAGAATTTGACTGTACTGGAGACTAGGTATTTAAAAGAGGCAATTTAGGTAAAAATCGCTCATATGAGTGGGCCCTAACCTCATTATTACTGCTGTCCTTATAGGAAGAGATTAGGACACAGACACAAACACAGCAAAGACCATGAGGAAGACCATGAGAAGGTACAGGGAAAGATCTATGAACCAAAAAGAGGCACTGGAAGAAATCAATACTACTCACTCCTTTATCTTGGATTTCTAGCCTCTAGCACTATGAGAAATATTTTTTAAAACTTGATTTCCTTAAATTTATGTGACCGTTATAAATTCAAGTTCTACAGACGTAGACAGGCATTTTACCCTTCAGGGTAGTGCTCCCACGGTGTACTCAATGCCTTTATGCTGATATGGCAGTTTTCAGAATACCTAAGTACTCTAGTATCTTGAAGACCTTCAAATCAAATGTCAGCAGCACTTGGTAGTCCAGAACTGTGACAGTTGGGTGTGACACAGAGCACAGCTTAAATAAAGTCACAAGGATTTGAGTTCTGGTGTAGACTCCACAAGCAACTTAAAATGGAACAAGATGATCTCTTAGGTCCCTTTACGTTCAAAGGTACATGACACTTAGTGATGATTACAAGTTCTCTGCTGTGTAAATGAACACTTCTCAGTTAATCAAATTACACATAAAAGCCTTATTTGGCCATACAGTTTTACCTTTTTCTAATAAATACACCTCTTATGCTGAAGGACCAGTAGCTGGGCGTGGTGCTGCACACCTGTTATCCCAATACTCTGGTACACTGAGGTAAAGGGATTGTAGATTGAAACAGCCTGGGAAACTTAGACCCTGTCTTTAAAAAAAAAAAAAGTACTAGTTGCCTGCCTAGTGACCTTTAAGGAGTTAAGAGATTTTACATCTATGGCAGTAAAGACCAGTAATGACTACCTAACACTGTCATTCTATTAAACTTCTATTTTTAAGAGATCCTGGAGCAAAAGATTTAAATAAGTATGACTGTGATGGATGTGATGGCACATGCCTGCAACCCTAACACTTGGGAAGCTGAATGGGGCAGGACAATCCTGAGTTCAAGGCCAGCCTTGGCTACTTAGCCAGCAACAAGACAAGAAGAGACAGGAGAGAGGAGAGGGGGGGTGGGGGAAGAGGGAGATTCGAAGAGGGAGAAAAAAATGAATTAAGGAAAGAAGGGAAGGAAAGAAAAGGAAAAGAAAGAAAAAAGCATGCAAGCCACTTAGACTCCTGCAATTAGCAATTCTTTAAAGAATCAAACTAAAACATTTTTCTGAGGAAAAGCAATAGGTAGACAGTTGGTAGCTATGTTAACCTTTAACTACAAAGGACAAAAAGTTTGAGACCACACACGTCTTACAATGTGTTTATACCAATGCTATAGCCAAGCCAAAAATTGAACCAAACTGGAAATAGTGTTGCAACTCTAATTTGGCATGGGGCAGGGGGAGAAGGAGGAGGAGAAGGACTAACATACTAACACGCATTTATAACAAAGGGAGAATGACCCAAAAAGTACATTATAAAAAGATTAGAAAAGCACTTTGCTCCTCAAAGTAAGAATTATATCTGAATTAAAAGAGCAGTAGTTGTTTTTAAAGTTGAGTATGTGTTTCTTTATGACAAACAGAAAGACTACTATAGAAAAGAGAAAATATGACATCATTAGAATTACAGGCAAGACAAGGAAAACCCAAAGTACATATAAGAACACAGAAAAATTTAAGAGAGTACAGATGTTATGACATTTATTAAAAGGCATGCTACAATGCTATACGGTTAGGAAAAGAGATCAGAGATATCAAGTAATAGCAAATATACAAACTGAAGGAAAATGGAATATACTGTAGTGTACAGAAGCTTGAATTAACCATGCACTACGCATTTAGAAAATATGCTTTTAATATTTTATCTTCTCTTTGCATTTATAACATAATTCACTTTAACGATCACAGAATCCTTTTCTTCCAATGCCACAAACCGTATTACAAATGAAAGCTGGTACTGCTGCTTATCAAAATATACAAGACAATTGATGTTTTATATAAAACCACTTTATATGTTAACTTGTTCCCAAAAACCTTTTTTTTTTTTTTCTTTTTTGGCCTGGTTAAAAAAAAAGTTGTTACAAATATTTACAGCATTTTCTTCTGTTAGATGAACATTCTTACAAACTGAAAAAGGGAATTTTATGAACAGACCACGTAAAACACAAGACAATGTCACAGGCTCCTAGCTGTGCTATTTATTTTTTTCTGAATACAGTACTGAAAATGCCCATCAAACTCTTGTCATCTTAATCCATTCTGTTCATGTTTAAACTCCCACTTTCTCTAAGTAGTCTATTCACCAATAGGAAATAGAAAGTAAAGGCCGCTTTGCACTGGGTCTTTCAGAAAGGAGCTTGGGGAAAATGCCTGGGAGGAGTTAAAACCAGAAGAGTCAGTCTTTGGTCAGAGCAATGAGGTGACATTTTGATGTAAAATTCTGCCTGGTCAACAGTCTTTACAATTAGTACTTTCCAGATGTGGGATGAACTTTAAAAGGTTCGAATAACAATGAATGGAAATGGGAAAAAGGCCAGAGTACGATTTTTTTAAATGACACCACAAAATAGCTATTTAAATATTTGTTATTACAACTACTCTATAAATCCAACAAGTGAAAAGTAACAAAAAAATCTATTGCCAGTGTTAAGCTTGCCTTAAGCAGCTTTCAATCATCACTATTATCACCAAGGTCACTGGACCAGACAAATATCCCTGTTCTCTGGAACACATACCTCAGATTGAAAAAACTAAGGTGACAGCCAGAAAGATTTAGAGCAGTTCTGTTCTTGAACCAGAGTATGCTCTCTAATGAATATTACGTGATAAAGGCAAAAGTGTAACTGAGAATGCATTTACAGAGTTACAATTATTTGCTTGTATGACTAGTTTATGGGGTAACATTCTCTTAAAACTACGTAGTATATACTTCCTGAAAACCAGAATACTGATACTACTTCAGTCTCAAATAGGAAGAAAAGGTCAATTAAGACTATTGAAGAAGGCACATAAACTTTGGTCCTGTTTTGTTTTGTTTTTTTATAAAAACCCCCAAATTAGGATTTTAGTAATTTCCTACTTTTTAAACTATTCACAACTAGCTGTTACAATTTGCTCTGAAAAAAGACTGTAAGTAGTCTTGTAGATAACAACACAATTCTTTTGAAAAACAGCTGAGTTATACTTCAAAATTTTATACAATCTAAATTGTACTTGTTTTAGCACAAAAGTAGAATATTTTAGGTCTGGCAGTTTTCTTCTCATTAGTAACAGATTGAGACAAAGGAAAGGCTAACAAAAATGCTTTACGTATAGTTGCTGTCTCTTTTGGGTTTAAAAATAGCAGTACACATTAGGTGTTCTAAGACACTGATAGTTTGCTGAACAGGATTTTAAAGTGACTCATCTGGCCCAAAAAGACACATACTATCGAGTCTTGTAGCGTTTTTGTCCGAAAATATTTAATGAGAACAGAAAAGAAACTTCCTAACAATTTATTCAAATACAAACATAGTGCTCTGATGACAAGGAGTCTCTAAAACGTTTCTATAAGACTGAACAAAGAGACAATAAGAGCTACTTCTTCAAGGAAAGCAGAACCTAGGATGAGCATGTAGATGGACCCAAAGAAAGCCTGGTCTCCTAAGGAACCAGGCAGGCAGAAACTGTGGCTCTAAAAACTAAGTTCAAACATTCTTACAATTAACTGATGATAATATTTAGCCTTTAAATAATTTATGGCATTCTGGAGGAGCTACAGGGTAATTCTGATACTCTCCAGTAAATTATCAATTAAGGTAATATATCATTTTGCTATTTGTATCTTACATGAAACACATTTTACTACTACCCAAGTTATTCAAATCTCAAAACATTTTGGCATAGACTGCTATTATTAAATGTGTACTGCTATTTTTAAAAGTCCTGAATATATATACTTTGTGTAAAAGTCAAGATACCTCAAAAAGTGCTACGCCAATATTCCTTAAAATAAAGTACATAAACTTAAAAATAGGATTCTATGGCAGATCAACAGCAAAAATAAACCAATGTTTAGCAGATATTGAGTAAATGCATGCCAAAATAAAAATACACAGATCTAGTTTTTCCACCACCCTGATATGTTTAAATCTTTTTACAAAAACTATGCCAACACAAATATCATAGACCTCTATAATTCAAACAGTAAAGAGCTCAATATGGACAACATCCATGTGCTACAGCTAATTTCAGACACAATCTGATGGCTTCAAACATGCTCTTTAAAAACAAGAATATCCCACTTTTCCAAATCTTAATTTGGTTATTCTTTGTCAATAAATTAAAATGTATGTAATGTGCATATGTATATACAACATTAGAAGGACGCATGTATGTATATACACTTATCTATATACACACACAAGCGCAAACACACACACACACGCACACACACACATTATCTACACAAATCCCTGAAAAGGATTCAAATGTTCTCTCAGATTTAAAGGCCATCTCCTACTTCAAAATTACATTCAACACTATTATGATTTACCTTCTGCTATCAGTAACTTTTGCTACACTTATGCTGGATGTTATGAGAATCATGAATTAATAAATTACACAGTAATTCCCAACTCAAAGCAAATGAAGTAATCCAATTTAACACACTACTGAAAATTATAACAGTGCCTGTGTAGAAGGAAATAAAGAGTAAATTTGGGGAGGTTTCTGAAATTTTTTTCCCCTTTCACTACTTATTGTGTCGGTAAAATGTATTTCAAAAGTGGAGGGAAATAAATCCCAACGAGGTAAGTGATTATGCCTATCTATTCAGCCAGCACTAAGCTGATCCATTTGAAAGGTCTCAGTGTCATCTTTCCTATTCTACCAATTAACTGTTGCTCAGTGTTGAGTGAATTCTGATTTTGTATCTCTTATTTTTTGCAAAATTTCTTGGATTAAAAAACCTCCCTATGTTCAAATTAATGGTTGGAATACAGCAGAAAGACTGAGATATTCTTTTCAAAGTTGAGATGAGCCACTTAAAAAATACAAAAAATGTAAAAGGGGTGGATAAAATTGATCCCTTCAATAAGTTCAGCTTAAAAATCTGATCAAGCACTGGAGGAGTAATTAACAAAAACAATTTCTTGTTAAAAATAATTTTACATTGTACAATCACGGAAGCAACACTAAAGTTCACTCTTACATTCAGCCCAAAACAGAAGAAGGAACTGAGCATAAAAAATAATCCACCTTCTCATACTCCTACATGTGTGAGCACTCGGTAAGTTACATTAACAAAGAAAAACAAGCTCTCACTTGAGTACTGAGAAGAACCAAGTAATCCTGAGACAAATTCTGATGGGCAATAAAGATTAGACAAGATCCAGAAACTGAGATTGCATTCTACAGCCCCAAATTGGTGTGTGATAACTGGCAACAACTGCCACCAGTCACGATGCAGAGGGCCACCAGCGCGCACTGAGTACTCTCCGAACTTTCACCCTTCCCTACCCCATCTCTGCACCAAAGCACCACAGATTGGAATAAAAACTATTACTTATTGAAAATCACTTAAAATTGCAATGAAAAAAAATTTTTAAATTCTTACCAAAACAGAGAAAGAGAAAACAAAACGCTCACCAAGCCCACAATATAGCTTTCAAGATATTTAGATAAAACTCTAACCTATTGTATCTTAAGCACATAATAAGGCACATAATAAGAAATTAAGTAAATACACAGTAATTCTGGATAAGTATTAGAGATTACAGTGGTACAAAAAACCCTTGAGATTTTTTTTTCTAAAAGAAGACCTTACCAAAAATAACTTTTAAAAAATCTGTCAAACCATATGATAGACCTGAATATTTTCCATAAGACTGTAAACTTTTTTCTGAAAACAATTATAAAAAAGTAGTTTATAAGTAGGATTACTTTTTCCAAATTTTCCATTATTATATTTATATTACTCAACAAAAAGTGTCATTTTGAGATTTAAGACATGATTTTTCTAACAAGATTATTGGTTGTTCTGACATCTTAATATATCCTAGTTGGATTTAACTTAATTTCCCTGGGCACAGTTGAGACACTTCATTGTACCAAACAGTCTTTTAAAAAGATGATGCATTATTCAAAGGAGTGTCACAGAGTTAAAAAGGAAATCATAGAAAGAAAACATGCATGTTTATAAATCTGCCTGCAATTGAACTCGTGTGTTTATGTCTAACAACCATCCATGTATGGCAAATATTTGACATAATTTAAAAGTGAACATAATTTCCCACTGGGGTCAAACTTCTGAATCTTAAAAGTTAAAAACTTGTTTGTAAGTGATTTAAATTACTTACATCCAGTAATTTAAAAAGTCCATATGGTTAAATCTCTCAAAGTACAAAGGAGTTTAGAAATGTCATATAAGGCTGATTTGAACCCAAACTAAAATAAAGTCTGTCCTCTTGAAATCAAATTTAATGTGGGGAATTAAATAATCAAAAACACATTTTTCCTGCAGGTACACTTTCATAGAAACCATGGTAGAAAGAGAAATAAACTTCTGGTCAGGTATTGTCAGGGGGAGAAACAAAAGAAAAAGACTATTCCACGTTTTTAATATACTTGAATATCAAATTCAGAGTTATTTTTGTGAAAGAGGCAGAGTTGGTCTTGAGTTGCTTCAGTCTATGTCTGAAGGTTTTACTGAAATTATGGTCCAGTTTTAGGAGAAAAATTCACAGAAAAGTCAGATAGTAGATTTTGAGAAGGAAACTCTGAGGTGGTGATTTTCTCCAAGATCATGATTATGAAGTTCAATGAGTGCCTGGATTGCTTCTTCCACAGATCCTAACTGAATGAGTGCCATTTTGCGATCTTTCCTGAAAACAGCATAAAAAGTATTTAGAATTAATTTTGTTTCCAAATTTCCTCCTTCCACCAGAAGATTTCATTTACAAAACACGTTAAATAATGTTAATGCGTCTCTTGAAAGCAAGGACTTACTGAAAGAATTTAAAAGCCTTCACTGAACACCCAGCCTCCGTAAAAAGGTTCTTCAGATCATCCATTGTAACAGAAGGGCTGTGAAAACATCAGAGCATCAATTACATTAGCCCCAATTCTCAAAGGAAGCAAAGATTAACTTGAGTCACCATCAAATCTCTAGAGTATTTTGTATTTGAACAGAACTACTGAGCCATGTAACAAAGACATGATTTGGAAATGTCCAGAAAGATTCTTAAGACACACAAATGTCCTCAAACAACAGAATTCTGCCTTAATTTTAAGGAACCAGACCATGAACCCAGGGGTACTCTCAACACTGAGCTGGATCTTCAGCCATTTTTATTTTGAGACAGGGCCTTGGTAAATTTCCAAGCCTTCTCTTGAACTTGTGGTCCTCTTGCCTCAGCCTCCTCCTGAGCAGCTGGGATTATAAGCGTCTGCTATCACATTGGGCCTATTTCAATTTTGGCTAAAGATAGTGACAAATATAAAAAGGTCGAAAGATTTTTTCTGTATGTGTTCTTGTAAAGTGATTATTATAAAACTGACTCAATAATTAATTAGTACTTCCAAAGCTACTTCTCTAGTTCTGATTTATCTGTTATAGTCTGGAGTTCTACATTTTCAATTACTTTCAGAGTAATACTTTTTTTTTTTTTTTTTTGGTTTTTCTCCGGTACCAGGAACCGAACTCACGACTTTGCGCCTGCCAGGCAGGCGCTTTTGCCGCTGAGCTAAATCCCCAGCCCCCTCAGAGTAATACTTAATGTGGATATATGGTAGCCAGGTTCTGAGATGGTCCCCAATTACTTGTGCCTCTAACAGTCACATGCTTCAATACTCCCATGTTAGCCAGGCGTGGTGGCACACGCTTGTAATCCCAGCACACGGGAGGCTGAGGCAGAACGATCCTTCCAAGTTTTTGTCTAGCCTGGGCTACAAAGTAAGCTCAAGGCCAGCCTGAAGTGCGTAGAGACCCTGTCTCAAAAAGACAAAAATAGTCCCATCTTATAGTGAATACAGAAATAGTATACATACTCTCTAACTCTTAGGACAGCAAAAAAAATCATGGTATGTTCCTTCAGATGGCTCTACTCCTGCCTACAGCCTTTTTTTATATTTTGGGAGCCTGGTAAATGAACCAAAGGCCTCGTGCAGGTTAAGCACATGATCTATCACTGACCTATACCACCAGATCCCCTCTCCTAGCATTTTTTATTTTATTTTATTTTTGTCTTTTTGAGACAGGGTCTCGCTATGCAGTTCAGGCTGGCTTTGAGCTCACTTTGTAGCCCAGGCTGGCCTCGAACTCCAAACGATCCTCCTGCCTCAGCCTCCTAAGTGCTGGGATTACAGGTGTGCGCCACCGCAGCCGGCTCTCCTAGCATTTTGACTGCAACCATTTGAGAGATTTCAGCCAAACCCACTCACCCCTGGACTCCTGACTCACAGTAACAGTATTAGATAATGAATATTTACTATCTTTGTTAAGCTGTTATATTTTTGGGCGATATGTTAATAGGGCAGCAAATATTATATAGTGGCCTATAAAGAGGAGAGTTAACTGATAAAAAAACAGACTCCTCATCTTCTCAAACTGACTAGCAAGGACAGTGTAGAATGATCATTGGCTTGTAGAAAGGCAAATCTGAGCCCACATTCTTGCTGTTTTTTGTTTTGTTTTGTTTTTTTGAGATAGGGTCTTGTTGTGTAGCCCAGGCTGACCTTCAACTCACGGCAATCCTCCTGAATCAGTCTCCTGAGTGTTGGGATCACAGGCATGTGAAATGACCCTGAGCATTTTTTCTTTTTAAAGAGGAGATGTTTAATTTGGTTCGTGGCATTCAAGGTTTTAGTCCAGGATCAGCTGGCTTCAAGACGGACCCATCACAGAAGGGACTGAGGGAGCAAAGCTGCTCACAGGGGCCCAGAAGCAGAGCTGGGTAAGTGCCCTAAGGCCATGTTCTACTCCTCCCTGACCTGGTTTATCGCTCTGAGTAATTACTTACCCTGAGTCTCTGTCCCATCAATAAGATGAAACTGTGACGTTACCCAAAGATTATTAACAGATATTCCGGAGCACTGGAATTACAACCATGTGCTACCATATCCAGCACCGAACTCTTACATACAGAAGTTATTTGATTTTTACCATATTAGTTACATACGAGTCATTACTTCTACCAAGAAATGAACAACTATATACCAATGTAGTATTTCTGCAAACTTTATTCTTATGAACTTGCATAACTGATAGGCAGTTAGTTATTTTAGAAAATTAGAAAATACTGATCTTTCACTCTGAAGACTACAGACAGAATCTCCTTAAGGCATGATGCCAAATAAACTATATTAAGAAAGTGGTGACCAAGACAACTGTCAAATTAGAGCAGTTTCAGAGCATTTACCTTTCCCAAACCACAAATTATTGATTACTAGTAACCTAAGCGAGTAACTTATTAGGTACATACGGAATGTTGGAAAGATGCAGTGTGGCTGATGGTGGAAAAATATTCTGGAAGTTTTTAGAGCCAGGCTTTTTAAAGCGATGCAAAGGACTATTGCTGAAATCCTTCGTCAGACCTTGGTCTTCCTGCCCCTCTCGAGGAAGCTGAACAGTCTGGTGTTTGGACAGTGTAGCACGGAGCACTTTTCCATAAAGTCTCTGACCACTTAGATGGTTCATTGCTACAGGACGAAAATAAGTTTAAGTATCAAGATGGATTCTCAGTAATACCTGCCTAACTTACCAGAAATTATTTTCACTGAATCCTTTAAAATTAAGCCAGCTTGAGTGTTAAAAGGGATTTGAATTCAAAAACTCTTAGGGGAATGAATTAAGTTACTTCATTTTATTGTAGTGAAATAATTAAAAAACAAAAATAACCAAACAAAAAATAACTACCTTCCAAGGAGAGTGCTAGGAAGTTCCAGAGTGCCTAGAACGTAACAAGTACTCATGAAATCGTGTTTTACTATATTAGCTTTATCTTAGTCAAATCATTTTTTCAAGAAATCTGAATAGGGCTGGGGATATAGCTCGGTGGCACAAGTGCCTGCCTAGAAAGTGCAAGGTCCTGAGTTCTATTCCCGGTAACAAAAAATAAAAAACAACAACAACAAAAAAAAAACCACCAAAAACTGAATAATAATATTTTAATAACCACTTTAAAAGTGAGGCTATGGAACTACACCTTCTTGAACCACCACTAGAAAGTCTGCTCAAACTTCTAAATTTCTGGAACTACTGGCTTAGAACTAAATGAAACAAGTCATGTCTTTTAGTTAAAACTTAGTAACCTTAGATGACCTTACAGTGAAACCTATAAATATTAAGAATATTGTTCAAGTAGTAAATGGACTTCAGACAAAGAGTAATGAATATCTTTAAATCTTAAACTATAAGCAGATGCAAATAATAAAGACTTAACCACAGGAAGTACTCTTATAAAATTGTATTGTTCTAAAAAACACATTTGTTAATTTTGAAGGAAAATTCACATACAAACAGAACAGGTTTTCATCATCACCATTAATCATTAGTACCTAGCTGGGCTTGATTTGCATCTGCCATCTGAACCAAGGCATTTTCCTTTTTATTAAACATTATCTTCACTCGATGTACATCACCATACACTCCTAGTTAAGACACACAAAAAAAACAAAACACTGTATTTAATGCCTGATTTTATCGTGTTTAATTGATTTTACTACATACCTAAATGTTTCTTTTCTCATACTATGTATTATCCCGTGACAATTTCAATACATACTCTTCCCAGTTCCAGATCTATCTATCTACTCAGTTCTTCACTTGAATTTCCCATAAACATTTCAATGTTATTGAGTCCCAAACTGATTCACTTCCTCCTATTTTTCTCCACTTCAAGTGTTGACTAATTCTGTGGATAAATGACACCATCATATACATAGTTACTCCGGTCAAACACCTGAGAGTCACCTTTGAATTTCCTTTTTCTTTAACTCCTGTATCAAATCCATTATCAGCATCCACTGATTCCATAACCTAAATGTATCTCACATTTCTCCACTTCTCTCTATCCTCAGCACTATCATAGTAATCACTACCATTTCATGTAAAGATTATCAAAACAGCCTCCTAAATATCTCATTATACTCAATTTTTCTATATCAGCAGCTCTGCGAAGTGGGTCACCCATCCTACAATACAGGTGAAATGATTCACCAGAGTGTGGAAAGAAAACAAAGCTCTTATCTAATACTTATCTGTTTACATAGCCAGCATGAAAAAATTACATTTAAATTCTAAGTCAGCAGATAGAGTTACAGGTAGGATGTATTTTCTCATTTTTCTCCTCATGGCAGTTTACGTTATCACTAATACTAAGGTCTCACTATCATCCTTTGTAATGCAGTAAGAAAAAGACTATAGAACCTTCAAGATATTTTAGAAGGTGATAAAGTAAGAATACAATTACATGGGCTGGGGATTTAGCTCAGCGGCAAAAGCGCCTGCCTGGCAAGCGCAAGGTCGTGAGTTCGGTTCCCGGTACCGGAGAAAAACCAAAAAAAAAAAAAAAAAAAAAAAAAAAAAAAAAAAAAAAAAAAAAAAAAAAAAGAATACAATTACATGAATACTAATAGAATCTACCAGGAAAGGCAAGCAACTAAACAGAGGAAAAAGGAAGAGAACCAACAACAGGAAAATAACATGACAAGGACAAGTCATTACTTATCAGTTATAATCATCAATGTAAATATCTCAATTCACCCATCGAAGAAACAGACTGGCAGAATAGATCAAGAAACAAGATCCAACAATATGCTGTATACAAGAAACACATTTAACTCAAAAAGAAATTCACAGACTGAAAGTCAAAGGATGGGAAACAATACTTCACGTGATCGGAACTTGAAAAAAGGCTGGGATAGTTATTCTATTTGTAGACAAAGTGGATTTCAAGGCAAGACTGACCAAGAAAGACAAAGATCACTACGTACTTGTTAAGGGAACACTCTAAGATGAAGAGGTAACAATAATAAATATATATCCACCAAATACCAGTGCATCCAACTACATAAAACAAGTATTAATGGACAGGAAAAGTCAAATAAGCATTAATACAATTGTGATAGGGGACCCTTAATACTCCATTGTCACAGACAGATCAACCAGACAAAAAGTCAACAAAGAAATATCAAACCTGAATCAAACCTCTGAACAAATGGACTAAGTAGACGTATGCATCAGAATACACACTCTCAGTTGCACATGGGATATTCTCCAAAACAGACCACATATTCACAGAACATGCTTAAGTAAATGCGAAGAAGCTGAAATTACCCCATGGATATTATCAGACCACAGTGCAATGAAATTGGAAATTAATGACAAAAGGAACCACAAAACCTCCATAAACACATGTAAATTAAATAACACCCTCATGAATAACCAGTGGGTCACAGACGAAATTAAAGAAGACATCAAATTTTTATAATTAAATGACAATACCAATATAACTAACTCACTGAGAGAAAAATTAAGGAAACTACACCCTTCACAAACACATTAGGAAAAAGGAAATACTTAGGAGTCAATCTAATAAAGTAAAAGGCCTCTATGTTGAAAACTACACTACTCTGAATAAAGAGATTGAAGAGAGTATCAGAAAATGTAATGTTTTTGGGTAGGAAGGACCAACACTGTGAAAATGGCCATACTTCCAAAATTACTAGATGGATTCAATGCAGTCCCAATCCCAATATCAACAGCATTCCTCACAGAATTAAGAGAAAGATCTAAAATTCATCTGGAACCAGAAGAGACCTAGAAGAGCAAAGGCAATTTTAGGCAGCAAAGGCCAGGCAGGGGGCATCACAATCCCTGACTTGAAATTATACTACAAAGCTACCATGATTAAAAAAAAAAACAAAAACAAAAAAAACAGCACAGTACTGGCAAACAAACAAAAAAACAGACCTGAGGATCCATGGAACAGATTAGAAGATACAGAAACAATTCTAAGCACACTCAGCCACCTTATCTTTGACAAAGGGGTCAAACACCTTCACCAGAAGACTGACTGACTCTTTAATAAATGGTGCTGGAAAAACTGGCTTTCCACATGCTGAAGAATAAATCTAGATCCATATCTCTCACCATGGACTAAATTAAAATAAAAATGGATCAAAGATCTAAATATTAAAAATGAAACACTCGGGAGGCTGAGGCAGGAGGATCGTTGAGTTCACAACCACCCTGGGCTATTAAGTGAGCTCAAGGCCAGCCTGAATTGCATAGCGCATCCCTGTCTCAAAAAAACAAAACAAAAAAATCCCTGGAACAATCAATCTGTAAGAAGACAGAACAGATAGAACTCTTGGAGATAGAAGTGTATGCATAAACATGCTAAGCTCCTCCATTTTCTTTAAGAAGCAGAAATATTTAGCTTAAATAAATGAGATCTTTATAAGATTAATAAAGGCACACAAAGGAGGGGTAGTACTTATCTTGTGGGCAAGCATCTAATGGAATGAATCTAGAGATGAATAGTGATAGTGATTTTAAAATTTAAAGCAAAAAAACAACTACAAATTTGCTGCTCTTCTCAGAAAGACAAATTCCTGGAGTGGACATTGTGGTTTTTTGGGGGTTTTTTTTTTGTTTTTTTTTGCCCTTGTAGTAGTGGCTATTAAACCGAGTACCTCTGCACTGAGCTACATCCTCACCCCTTTTTATTTTTTGAGGCGGGGACTCATTAAATTGCCTAGGTTTGGCTAGAACTTGTGATCCTCTTGCCTCAGGCTCCCAGAGTGCTGGAATTATAGCCATATGCCACCATGCCTGGGTGAAGTAGACTTTTTAAAAAAACTAAACACGTATTTGTTTTTAAGATATGAAAAGTATGTTTTTTAAATGAGCAAGAAATTTATTTTTAGAAAGACATGTTTTGACTAGGAGAGTGATATAAAAATGTATTATTAATGCATTTTATTGTTAAGAATTAAATCATTATTTATCATTTTTTTTTTTGTACCAGGAATCAAACTCAGGACCTTGTGCTTGCCAGGCAGGTGCTTGTGCCACTGAGCTATCTCCCCGGTCCCCTAAATGTACCAATATTTAAAACTTTTACAGTGACTGTTTCTGAGGATAAGGGCTTTCTTTCTTTGTAATGAAGGACTTCTGTGGGGTGATGGAAAAGTTCTAAAATTGTACTGTGGTGATGGTGTGGTATTGGACAGAGAATTACATGGTTGTAAACTATGCTTCAAAAATGCTGTTTAAAAAAAACTATCACCAGAAGGGTGTGGTTGATGCATGCCTGTAATCCCAGCTACTTGGGAGGCTGAAACCAAGCCTGAACAATTTAGTAAGATTCTGTCTGAAAATAAAAATAACAGGAGCTAGGGAGGTTGCTCCATTGGGCTTCTATGTACTAGGAAATCAATCTATCTGTCTGCCTCACACATTCCCCTTGCCCTCATTTCCTAATATCTGTAAAAAAAGAAGAAGAAAAGACATTTACTGTCTCATTCTGCCTGTCTGACTCTTCCTCATTTTTTACAAGTCAGCTTAACACTTTTACTGGTTCCCTCAGGTTAGCAGCACTTCCTGCTTTATGCTCCCATTACATTTATTTCTCCTATCATAAAATTTTATTGTAATTACTTACTAAATTTTATTCCCTGTCTATCCCCAGTGTCAAACACTACTTGGCATACAGAGGTAATCCGTAAATATCATTAACTGAATCCATGTGCTTAAAATTCATATATACAGATAACATTAAAAATAATAAAAATGAACTTACCGAACAGGATAAAAAGTCCATGTGGTGTGATCAGCTGTTTGAAAAAAGATAATACAAAATATAAACGTTGAACTAAACAAGTAAATTTTTAAAATTAATTTATCTCTAATGCAGTAACAACAGACTATGTTTGAAACATCTTTTATATACTTCTATATATACTAGTAATGAATTTTAACAAAAAGCCTTAAAACAAACTTCAGAATTTTAATTTGAATACAACCCTACATCAGAAACCGCTATGCCTTCTGAAAGACTACCTGTAATACTCAACTCACATCAGGGTTGAGATTGGTGACAAGCAGAACAGAATTTCCTGGTATACCACTTGCCCCGGGAATGGCCATTCTTCCAGTGATCGCAGAGGAGGTGAGTGCAAGCGGACCAAGGGCTCCAGGAACAGCTGGGACTGAGAGACCTTTTAAAACATCAAAAGCAGTTCATATTCTAGTTATCTGGAAGGTATTAACACTTGACAGAGTAAGTAGAAAAATGAAGACAGAGCAAACATAGAAGAAAATGTGTCAAGGCTAAGAAAGGATACAGAGAGCCAGTTTCTGCCTCACAGAGTCAGTATGGAGGCAGATTTCCTTATCTGCTGACATTATCAATCACACACACTCTTACTGTTCGTACCATACTTTCCAGAATAACGACTCACTGGTTTTCAAAAAAACTATCAGGTTTCTCGGAAGGTCTAGCAACTGCAAGTATTCTCTCTATCCTGAATAGATATCCTTTAGCACCTTTTTATTAAGTGGATATAATTTCCATACTGTCTTCTATCAAAATGAGATAATGTGTTTTTAGCAGAAGTCACAAACATGTGCACTGGGTAGTGCTACATGACAGTCTATATGGGAAAAAGATTTTATAGCCCTGTAAAGTGCTATGTAAATATTATTATGATCAACAAGATTTACAGAATTCAATATTCTTTTATAGCAGAAATTTTCAGAGGTCTCCCACAGATACACTATAATTACTGAAGTTCTATAATACCGTAATAGTGACACTATATTTAAAAGCACACTTTCCCAAAGTTCCACTATTTGTGTCTCAGTTTTAAATTACCTACAGTAAAATCTCTAGTTTATATAAAGTTTTATGTTCTAGTTTATGTTCTTAATTTACTGATTCTTTACATTCAACATTTTTTATGTCTGACCACTTTCTTATGTATCATGTAACTAACTAAACGGTAATGTTATGTATTCAGACTATTCTACCTGACAATCTCAGAAAGCCATTACTATTATTATTTGGATTATCAAATTTTTTTTTGATACCAGGAACTGAACTCATGACCTCAGGTTTGCCAGGCAAGCGCTTATGCCACTGAGCTATATTCCCAGCCTGGATTGTCAAATTTTTGGAAATTGTTCAGACCACATTCTCAGACTGAAACTTTTTCCATGAAATCCCTATCTACCAGCCCTTTTTACATGACCCTCTTTCCCATGCCCTTCCAACCCAACCCTGCAACTGCTGGTACTATCTACAGGTCAGCTATATATCAGCAAAGAGCACAGTATAGGACCATGTGTGTTTGTGTGTGTGTGTGTGTGTGTATGTGTGTGTGTGTTGTGTTTGTGTATCATTTTCTAGACCTTAAAAGTCAAAGTCAAGTCAGGAGTCTCTTTACTCATATTTTTTATCTTTCTAAGTATCTATTATTGTGTCTTATAAATACAGTGTGTTTAAAGAGAGATACCTAAAAGGAGGGAAAACATATTACTACTTGTATATGTCTACCAATTAAATTTTGAAGACTTTCAAATTAATACTGTTTTTAACTGATTATCTAGAATAGTCACTTACAGAGATATTAAGATGTATTTTTTAAAAACCCAAAACTAAGACTTAACACTAACCTTCATACTACTCTTTCTTTTTTATTTAACTCTACTTACAGTTATGTGTGTCAATGGCAAGTAAGTGATGTGGAACATATAATGGAAACTACTGGAGTTCAAACTGGAGCCAGAGATGATTATTTGTTAATATAAGCAAGCTGTGTACCGTACAAGTCACTCTATAGTTGGTATGACTAGATGCTTCTATTGTAAATCCTTAAAATTTTTATTTTTCAACTTTATAAGTACCTAGAAAATAAAAAGCTTTATTTAGAAATCATTTCAATTTCAACTTTGAAAGATTCACCTGTAGCTTGAGGAAATCCAATGGCTGGGGCAAACCCAGCAGCCCCTGCATATGGTGAAGATATTATACCTGGGGCACCTAGTGGGGAAGAAAGAGAAAAGAGCAAAAGTATTACCCTCTACAAATATGCTTACCAAAGAAATATAAAATGGTTATGTGGGAGTACATTATATATAAAAGGAACAGTACTGTTACACAATGAATACTTTTTCAGTACATGCTCCTTAATATAAAAGAGCCTCACCACCTCAGAAGCTAATCCCTTTCTACTGTGTTCATGGAGTAAGAATACACAGCTTAGCAGTAAACTATATTTGCACTAGGCTGAGATCCTAAGCCTGATAGTACTTCCCTACATGAAAAGTTATCAAATATTTATTGAATCTTATTAAATCATACAGTACCTATTGGGTACTGTGCTGATAAAAACAAATATATGAGATACAATTCTTGTCTTTGAAAGGTAACACAATAAAATAAGAATTATATCCTGAGGGTTACCTAGTGGTGTAAACAGAAATGTATGGCAAGTAGAATAAAAAGGAATCACAGAAGATTCATTATGAGGGGCTGGGGATTTAGCTCAGCGGCAAAAGCGCCTGCCTGGCAAGCGCAAGGTCGTGAGTTTGGTTCCCGGTACCGGAGAAAAACCAAAACCAAAAAAAAAAAAAAGATTCATTATGACAGTTTGGAGGTTTCTATGATGCTAGGGGAAAGCTAGAGCTACACATCATTTAACTGAAAAGCAGAGTCTTTAGTGTGTTTTAGATGCTAAATAAATACTGGCCTTATCTTTAAGAAACCTGGTAACTGTCACTAAAAAACAAAAAACAAAAACAAAAACAAAAACAACAGAAGTTAGTTCTAGTGGAGGAGTCAGGTCTAATAGAAAAATAATGATTTTGGTTTGAGCCTTGTCAAGTTTGAGGTGATGGTAAAATACTCAAATGGAAACGCAAGTGGAAATAAAAGGGACAAACTCTATTACAAGCAAACACAGATTTGTAAACATCTGTCTTGAAACAGAGGTGAAATTCATTCAAATGAGCTTCACCAAAAAGGTGTTTTAAAAAAGAAACAAAGAAAGAAAGCTAAAGATGGAGCTGGGGGATCAGTGTACTTAGGCAGCAGAAGGAAGAGGGATATCCATAATATCCTTAGGGTACAAGGAGTAAATTACAGTACCTCAGGACCTAGCAAGCACCTGCAAAAGGAAGAGGACTTTCAATCCAAGTCACAGAGAATAAGAAAAAGACGATAAATGTTTTAGAGAAACAATGAGATTATAAAAGTCTTGTGGTACTGGGAATTGAAACCAGGGCTTTTGCATGGAGCAGCTACATTCTCAGACCTTTCACAAGCTTTTTTGAGATGGAGTCTCACTAAGTCGCCACGGCTGGACTCAAATTCTCAATCCTCCTGCTTCAACCTCCTGGAGTTTTAGAATTACAGGTGTGCACCACCACGGCCTGCACAGTTTGGTCTCTTTACAGGAGATGAGAATATTTATAAGCTACATTTTTCAGGAGGTAAAAGCTCATATGCTTTCATTCTTTTCATTGAAGTATTTCACATAATTTAATTTATAATTCAAGAAAATAGAAGAGACTGCAAGGAAAGAACAGAGAACTGACATTAAGAGAAGGTATCAAAAATAATTGACTAGGGGGCTGGGGATTTAGCTCAGTGGCACAGCGCCTGCGTGGCAAGCACGAGGTCACGAGTTTGATTCCCAGTACCAGAAAAAAAACAACAACAAAAAATTGACTAAGAATAACTAATGAAATAAGAAGGGACAGTAAAATCCACTCAACAATGTATGTTAGGAGCATATTATGAAAAAAAAGAAAGCATATTATGAGCTAAGCATTCTTCTAGTACTGACAAATCAATAAACAATCTCTGTCCTGCTAAACATATACAGACCACTGGTAAAATGATTCATTTTTATAACAACTATGTTTAAGGCACAAAAGATGGACATAAAGTGTTTAGTTAAACAAAAGGAGAAACCAGCAGATTATACTACTGTCGCTAAGTATTCACTTGCCCCACCCATACAGTTTTGGCCAGTTATGTGACCAGCAGCACCTTTTGGAGGGACAAGCATACATTTCTATTAAGACACACTGGGTTTGACTATGTCACATTTCTGCAAGATATAAATACAGAAATGATATATGCCATAGAAACTTTAAGAAGCAGTATTGCATGTCTATATCTGTTTTCATGAGAAGCCACTTTGAAGATATCAATATGTAATACAACCGCCATTGTTAATTCCCTACCACTTTGTTTGTAACTCTGTATTGTCTGTATTGTGCTTGTGATATGTTGTAAAATGTTGTATGTCTGTTAATGTTTCCCTCCTTTTATCTTTAAAAAAAAAAAAAAAAAAAAAAGAAGCATTATAGGTTTATACCAGTACTCTCATTCTGTCACAAGAATGCCACCTTCAGTCTGAGCCCTACACCAAAAAAACGTGCGGGAGAGGCCTGCAATAACTGATTCTCGGCTTTGGAAAGACATGTGGGAAAAATAAATACTAATTGTCATAAACAATTGATTTATGGGAGGGGGGAGCAGTTTTTAAACATAGCAAAGTGGCAAATACAGATAGATATGGAAGGGGGTGAGACAACAGTAGGAGTAGGGTTTAGAGAAATAAGGAAAATTTTTGAGATAACCATCACAAAACACTTAATAGAGACAAATAAAAGAACTTGCAAACAAATATCAAAGTTAAATTCTAAATACCTGTTTCCAAGTATGATGTGATTATTAAGAACATTTGTTAACAACTGACAAAAGAGTCATATATAATTCTATAAAACTACATTCTCCAGATAAACACAGAAACAGAACCTGCAATGTAACTAGTTAGACAACAGCCTAGTTTCTCTATTTTATGAAGAGAACACACATACCTCTTATGTCAATGACTAAGAACAGATATTTTAATTTGAAATATGATAGCAGTCAAGAAAAAACAAATTAACATTTTACCCATGAAATCAGTTTATTGCATACGTTACAACAGCAAAATTCCAAAGAAAACAAGTTAAAATCCACACTGGAGATTAAATAAATTATGGTGGCTTACTAGACAAAACATAGAGCCATTTAAAATACTGCAAGAGTATGCACTGACAAATGCAATTAAAATTAAGTAAAAAATTTCATTGACTCAAAGAAATGCCAATTGTTCTGATTTGATCATTACACTTTAATATATTATACTGCATCTCATAAATATGTACATTATTAGATGTCAATTCAATAATAGATATGATCTTTCCATTCTTGGGCAAGTAATTCTCAGATATACTAGCAGACTAAGTAACACAGACCAATCTTATTACAAAAAACGCCCAATGAAAGAGTACAAAATGGGAGTGAACAAGATGATAAATAAGCAGCTATACCAGTAAATCTATTACTGAGGGAAACTAAGGCAGGAGTATCTTAAGTTCAAGTCCTGCCCCGGCAACTGGGTGAGACAATGTCTCAAAATAAAAAGGGCTAAGAATGTAGGGTAGTGGTGGAGCAACCCTGGATTCAGTTCCCAGTACTGCCAAAAAGCAAAAATAACAACCCTACTACTACCACCACCACTACCACAAACCCCCCCCCAAAAAAATAACCCTACCACAACAATAAGCAGGCCATAAAGCTTAACCCTGTGAATCTTGGCTTTGTTTTATTTACACTCATGTGGTAGCAGGCAAGAGGCAAATCTAAGGTGAGAAGTCAACAAGTCACCCTCAGTACACTAATCTATTAGTATAAGCCGAAGGCAACCTACCTCACACATGTACTCTCTCTACTCTCAGATTGTTTCCTTTATGTTCAGCAGAGAAGGGATACAACTCCCTAAAAATTTCTAACCAAATGGAAGTTCTTATGCAAATTTCCAGCCCAAATTTACTCTTGAGAACCCTAAGCAAACAAATTAATCTATGAGTTTATGTTGAAATGATCCCAGCCACTAATGAGAGCCATTAATGTTGGAGATAAGCAGTTTCTACAAGAACATACCACCTTGATCCCTAAGCCTCTAAGAATTCTCATAATCCTCCAGATAAAAGGAAAAACTTGCCCCTGCCTCAAAAGGGAAGAAACATCTAAACAGAAAGACTAAGCTGGGCATGATGGTGTTCAGCTACAGTTCCCATTCCTCATGAAGATGAGGCAGGATTGCTTGAGCCAAGAGCTTGAGGCCAGCCGAGGCAACATAGCAAGACTCAAAACAGAAAGACAACTGGCAAGACTCCGAGGTATGTATGAATCACCAAAACTGAACCAAAAAGATATAAAAGCCCCTGAGTAATCCACTAACAGGGAGTGACATTGAGGCAGGAACCAACAACAAAAAAACCCTACCAACTAAGAAAAGCCCAGGACCCAAGGATTCACCACTGAAGTCCACAAGAACTCCAGGGCATACCTAAGGCCAGTTACTCTTCAAACTGTCTAATTAAACTGAAAGGGAAGGAGTACTGCCAACTTCATTCCTGGAAGCCACCATTACCTTGGTTCTAAAACTAGACAAGGATTCAACTAAAAAAAGAAAATTACACATAGATAAATCTTTATAATGAACAGAATGCAAAGATCCTCAAAAAGATACTTGCAAACAGGATGCAACCACGTAGGCTTTATCCCACAAGATACAAGGATGGCTCAAAATATACAAATCAGTAACTGTAACACATCACATAAACCGAAGCAAGGACAAAAATCACAGGATCATCTCAAGAGATCCAGAAAAAGCCTTTGACAAAACTCAATATCCATGATTGAAAAAAATGATTTAAAAAACATGATTTTAAAAAAAAAAGAATAGGTACAGAAAGACTTTCTCTCAAGCTGATAAATGCCATTTACGACAAACCTACTGTCAATGTGGTATTAAATGGGGAAGTGGAAGCTTTTCCTCTAAGGTCAAGAATAAGAACAGGACATCCACTATTACCATCTGTGCTCAGTATAGTAACCTTCCAAAGTGCTCTTCTACTACCCTCCCAAATTTTCTTGTGTTCCTGTGCAATGCATCTTTCCCTCTCCATCTTGTCCCCAAGCAGTGATGTGTCACACTAATGTAGTTTGCATTTTCTATTATGCATACAAAATACACAATCATGCTGTATTACTTGGCTTTTCTGTTGTGGAGACACACTTACACTCACAACTTAAAGGAGCTCAATCTGGCTCATGGTTTTAGGGGATTCGGTTCACAGCTGGCTGGCTCTAAGAAAGACCCCGGTGGAGGGTGGGTGGAAAAAGATGCTTAGTCCACAGCAGCCAGGAAGCCGAGCAGGGGAAGAGCGTCAGAGAGGAAAGCCTACACCTCCATGACCCACCAAGATACACTCGGAAGTATGCTTTACTAATCCCTGACATTTCCCAAGCCAGTCAAATTGACACAACTGAATTTAACCACATACATATACATATAAGAGGGTGTTCTTTTGTGTCTCACTTCATTTGTACAGCGTAATTCCTCTTATCAGTAGTTTATTCCTTTTTATGGCTGAACAGTATCTGATTGCACAGATAGCCCATATTTCCCTTCATTCATTTGTTAATAGAATATTTTCTAGATTTTAACTATTACAAGAAAACCTGCATTGAACATTTGCACAGAAGTATCTGTGTGAACTCCTATTTTTATTTTCCCGGGGTTGGAGATTTAGGAAGGGTTCCATCATGTTGTAGTTACACGTTTAACTTTTTAAGAAAACACCAAATTCTTTTCCAAAGTGGTTATACTATTTTACGTTGCATCCAACTGAATACAGAAGTAAAAAGCAATCCGTATCACTGGGTAGGGTCTTTTTAATTTGAGCTATTCTAATTAGATATATAATGACAATATACATAATATCATTTGAGTACATTTGAGACTAGTGATGTTGAGCATTTTTCATATATTCACTATAATTCATACATAAGATTTTGTAAAGTATCCCTTCAAAATTTTTTGCCCATATTTCTTCAGTACTTTGCTGCCTTAAACATAAATTGTAAATTCTTCATATATTGATATAGTCAATTAGTCTCATAACCTTCCTTCCTTGGTATAGAACCCAGAATGTGCTGCGCCTCACCCCTACCCTTTTTTACTTTAAAACAGGGTCCTAGGGGCTGGGAATGTAGCGGCAAAAGCGCCTGCCTGGCAAGTGCAAGGTCGTGAGTTCGGTTCCCGGTACCGGAGAAAAAAAAAAAAAAAACAGGGTCCTGCTAAATTGCCCAGGTGGGCCTTTAACTTCTGAACCTCCTCCCTCAGCCTCCAGAATAGCTAGGATTATAGGAATGTACCACTGTGCCAGGCACAAATACCTTTCTTCAACCTGGGGCTTTGGTTTTCTTGAAAATATCTTTCAGAAGCTGGGAGTGATGGTATATACCTGTAAGCCCAGCACTCAGGAGGCTGAGCCAGGAGGATCCTTGCGAGTTCAAGGTCAGCCTGGGCTACAAAGTGAGCTCAAGGCCAGCCTGAACTGCACACTGAGACCCTGTTTCAAAAAAGACAAAAAAAAAAAAAAAAAAAAAAAAAAAAAAAAAAAAAAAAACAACAACAACAACAAAAAAAAAACCAAGCTGGACTTAGTGGTACATGCCTGTAATCCCAGCACTTGGGAGGCTGAAGCAGGAGGATCACTGCAAGTTCAAGGCTAGCCTGGGTTACACAGTGAGTTCAAAGCTAGCCTAAACTGCAGAGTGAGACCCTGTCTCAACAATAACGACAACACAAAAACCAAAAAAATCCTTTCAAATAATGGAACTTTTTTTGTTTATAGTATTGGGGATTGAGAAAATTTATACGCAAGGATGGCTAATGAACAGTTCAACTTTAGTAATAATTGGAAAAATACAAGCAAAAATTATGTCATTATTGTTACAAACACATAAAATTGCCAAAACTTAGCACATCTCATATAAATTAGTACAACCCTTTCAAAACAGTATGGGGTTATGTGATAAAACTGAAGAAATACTCCATAAGTAAACAATTCCTTTCTTAGGTATGTTCCTTAGAAAAAAATTCATTCAAGTATGTTTGTAGCAGCATGTTCAGAACTGCCTCAAATATAACCTCAATGTCTATTAATAAAAGACTGCGGTGTATTCGTTCAAGGGATACTACACACTTGGTTTCATTGAGAATGAATGAGCCACGCCCCGTGTATGGGTATAGATGAATCACAAAGCCCACTGTGAAAGAAATAAGTCACAAGAAAAAAACAGCATGTTTCCATTTATGTGAATTTCTGAATATAAATGTAAAAATTTAAACTAGCACTTAGGACTATATAATATATAGTTTAAAAGAACAAAAACAAAGCAGGAAAAAGCACAGAAGAACAATAACCAACTATGGGGGTCTATTTATCTTGGGGCAGGAATCCAGGAAGAGGAGTACAGAGGGGCTTATTCAGTATGCAGAAACTGACTGGTAAAGCCATGTGTCTTTAAAATATATACTTACCTGTTTTATAAACTATTCTCTAGGTATAACATAAATCACTAAAATCAGGAACAGAATGCTTACGCCTGAGCCCTGGAAACTTAAGTAACAGCCACAAATGTAGTAAGAAAATAAAGAGAGCACAGTGTTTCAGAAGTCAAGAGAAAAAAGGAAGGCAATAATGAACTACATTAAATTTGAGAACAAAAGTAGAGAAACTTTCACACAATACATAAAGTATCTTTCTCTGATGAATCACTAATTTTAGGATGAAGATATTATTTTGCAGTGACTATTAATAACACAATAAAAATAATTTGAACATTCTGACTTTTATGTGCAGAAATCAAAATTCTTAGCCATATAGTTCAAATGTCCTCTTCCCATTATACAGAACATTAGTTATCCAAGTGTATATATTCAATTATTGGGATAACTGCAACTCTATATTTCATAGATGAATCTCGGCAAACTCAAATTTGCCCCCACTTCTATTATTTGTCATTGAAATGGTAAGGACAAAAACATTTCACTCTCCTGAATCAGGACTACAAATACCAAAAAAGCTTTTACTTTAAAATAGAGTTACAAGCTGGGCATGGTGGTGCACACCTCTAATCCTAGCACTCGGGAGGCTGAGGCAGGAGGATCGTTCTAAGTTTGAGACCAGCCAGGGCTACAAAGTGAGCTCAAGGCCAGCCTGAACTGCACAGCAAGACCCTGTCTCAAAAAAGACAAAAATAAATAATAAGTAAAATAAAATAAAATACAGTTACAAACTATTTTCTATAAAATCTTGGACAACCACTTGGTGGTCTTAACTCTAATTTTCTGGCCTATAAATGAAGACGGAGTAAACACTACTTAAGATCTCAATTAGCAATATTCTAAGTGTTATTTGGGAAAGGTAAAATTGGAGAAAGGAAAGTAAATCAGAAAGCATCCAAGTTTAATAGTTTATCTAAAAAACAAATTATCCTTTTGAGAACTTTAAAACCAAAATTAGACTGTATTAACCCAATGATATATCCAAACTGGGCCATCATCTATTGCTTTTTTCTTTATATAAAGGTTTGCATGATGATGATGATAATGATGATAACAGGGATCAAACCCAAGGCATCACACATGCTAGGCAAGCTCTCTAACACCAAATTACATATACCCTCAGCCTCTTAAAAGTTTACTTTAAATTAAAAGAGGATGGGCTGGTGATATAGCTCAGCGGCACAGTGGCTGCCTGGCAAGCACAGGTCCTGAGTTCAATTGCTGGTAGCTCCCCTCAAAAAGAGGAAAGCCCTTTAAGACTTCATTTGTAGCAGTAACTTTAAAGGCTTTATTTTTATAAATGAAAAGTGCAACTTCACACTAATAAGGCAAAGTTGAAAGTTCTAATGCTTAACAGCAAACCAAGCTCTAAAAAAAACTACCTCTGAATAAAAAGGAAGAACATACAACTAATTTGGGCTACTTATTTAAAATATCACTATTTAAAAAGGGAAGAATATTTTTTCTTAAGAGCACCTTAACTCAAAATTCTGTTGACAATAAGCCAACACATTTAAATCAATATTAACATTTAAGACTACCAATCTAAAGCAAATAGTTGTGTGGCTTATGAGTAATATTAATGTTAGAAAATAAATGTGTAACTTTATTTCCAACATCTACTTTTTTTGTCAACTAACAGAATTTCCTAATATTAAGATGTAATTAATGGGTACATTCTACTCCATGATTGCTATCCTTTAGAAATCCTGAGAGAACCCAAAGGGGGAGATGGGTTGGCTTTCACGGATTAATACATGACATTTATTGCTTCAGTGACCCAAAAAGGAACTACTCACCAAAAGCAGCAGCCATAGGGGGTTCAAGAGATGGCTGGCCATCACCAGAAGGAAGGTCTAAGCGAGTGAAGTCTCTGCTTTTGTCATTATTATATTTCACATTAAGGCTGGTGAGCTTGGAGAAGTCAATACGCAGAGTGCAGCATGCATTATAGATATTCTGGCCATCCAGAGCCTAAAGTATGTGAGAAAAGGACTAATGTTTTGGCAAGACAACAATGATAAATCAAATAGCCTTTGTTTTGACACAGAATAGCAATCAGGTATAAAGCAGAGCACACAGAACTTAAAGACCTAGCGCTTACTTTTATTTCAATCACTGACTGAGGAGTCTGAGGAGAAAAAGAAAAGCTGTCTCAGTTTTCATCTGTAAAATAAGAATAACAACATCTATCCTATCTATGGTAGGATCGAATGAGTGAAGAAACGTAAAAGGTTGTATAACTATTACACAGTAGTATAGAAACACTAATCTGTTAGGTCATTTTCCCTCTAGCAAATGTTTAAAGATATGATAACTTCATATTTTGTCTTAGTTAATTCACTTTAGCATAGTTTAAACAGGTTAGGATGAAACAAAGCCTCTGTAAATGTTATATGTCAGAGCCACAATATATAAAATATCACCTACAGGCTATATTTTTCTTTTGTAAATTTATCTTGTAAAACTATGAATAAAGAAAACTGAAGGAAATTTGAAGTCACTTGTGACCAAAGATCAGGAATCTCTCTCTTTTTGCAATAATAAAAATCTACCAGGGGTATATTGTGGCTGATTATTGCTTCTATCAATACGTGAATATATAAAAAGATACCAGAAACCAAAGCACATACAAACAAGGCAAATACAAGAGAAAATGATTCGTCACACTGACATATATGCTGTCACAATGGTACACAATAACACATCATGTAGAAGGGAGAGCAAACACAAAGGCTATATTCCCAACTCAGTGCCAATACTGTACAGCACACAACAGTATAATAAACTTTAGTCTCTATCTCTGAGCAGAAATTAGAAACGATTCGGAAACCGATACAAGACAATTACAGCTCAAAAGATGGGTTGAGTATTCCTGTACCACAAAAAAGGAAGGAAAAAAAAAGACAATATGAATTGACAGCAGTGCATTTTTTAAGACTTAATGTCTTCACCAAAAGAAGTGAAATCAATATTTGGCTGGTTTAATTGAAATACATGAAGGACAAAGGGTAAAAAGCTACTTTACTATATTACAACAGGAATACTGTGCTCAACTCTAGATTCTAAACATGACAAAAGGACTAAGTCTCTCAGATCTTAGAGGTGGCAAATTTGAAACCATTTTCTATAAAATACTAACTTTCAGCTTAGAAAAAGAACATAACAGAACTATGCAGTCTAAAATGATAAATATGGCCGAGTATGGTGGCGCATGCCTGTAATCCTAGCACTCAGGAGGCTGAGGTAGGAGAATCACTGCAAGTTCGAGGCCAGCCTCGGCTACAAAGTGAGCTCAAAGCCAGCCTAACTACATAGCGAGACCTTGTCTCAAAAAGACCTAAATAAATAAATAAAAATAGTGTTGTGTACATTATTTTACCACAACTAAAAAGAAGGTATATTTAATGATGGCTTCCTCTAGGTATATTAAAATAAACGATTAACTACTGAAAACTGAAAAATATTAATTACCATTTTGGCATAATGTGCATTCACGGGGTCAGCATACTGAAGCAGCGCTTGAAACTGATTATTCTTTGTAAAGGTGATAATCTTCAAGACCGTGCCAAATTTAGAAAATATCTGGAAAAAAGTTTACAACAGGTTAAATAATTAAAAGTCTAAAATATTTATGTTTCAGCACCAATGCTGTGTCTTAGAACAGTATCTGGCAAACAATAAACACTTAAACACGTAACCTATTTCACAGATGTATAAATAATACAGTACTAAGACAGGAAGCTACAATAAGAACTGACTGCATAAGATAACGGTGTTACATAGCATATAAATGGAATCAGGAGAATCAAACAGATCAACAGTTTTTCCCTGTGAATCAGTATCTATTTCTGAAGAGTTTTGTAGAAAGGAACTAAAATAAGGTTCAACCATAGGCTGTTCTATTAATTCAACAAATACTCATAGGGCACTCTTCTAAGCACTTGAACTCACCAGTGAGCAACACAGAAAAAGTATCTGGCTTTATGAAGATGTACTTTTCCCTACAGTTAAATACTGATTAGTTTTTCATATGCTTATTGAATTTTAGATTATTTTCTTTGGAGAAATGTCTATTAAATTTTTTTGCCTATTTTTAAATTGGGTTATCTTGTTGTTTACTTGTAGTTCTTCATAGAGTTTGGGTATCTGGGGTTGCTTTTATACCCTGTTGATAGTATTCTTCGATGTGCAGTTTGCTGCTGTTGTTGATCTGGGCACTGAACGCCGGGCCTTCCCACTAACCTTCCCACGTCCCCACCTTTTTATTTCTTTCTTTTTTTTTAATTTTTGAGATGGAGTTGCTCATGCTGGGCTTGACTTCACAATCCCCCTGCCTCAGCACCTCGGGATGCTGGGATTACAGGTGTGCGGCAGCACACCTAGCTGATGCACAAAGTTTTGAGGTGGTCTAGTTTACCTATGCTGTTACCTATGCTTCAGGATAATTTCTCTTGAGTACTCTTTCTGATAATTAAAAAGCAAGACTAATTGCCTATTAAGAACACTGACTACATAATGCTTAATAACAGCAAAATCTTACCAGAACAGGGAATATTTAACTTTTTTATTTATTTGAAAGTTACAGATTACGTGAGAACCCTATTGTGAGCTACTTCCATAGTGCACCAAGGAACTTTTTAGTAGGCAGGTTTGAGTTTTCAGTTGGTAACAATTTTCTTTCTATCTGTATTTGCTAAGTAATGTTACTCAGTCCAATGGCTTTAATTACCTACATACATGCTGAAGGTTACCAAATCTGCTTCCTGGACTTCTTCCCCCTAATCCAGACTTAGCTCCTGTCTATTCACTATCCCACACTTGGATGTCTAACAAGTATCTCAAACTTAACATGTCAAAAATAAAATCTTGAGTCTTGCCCTACACCTCCAATGTCTGCCTCAAATTTTTTTCCTCACTCCATGCCAGCTAGGGTACCTCCATGTTACCAGAGGCACAGATCCAAAAGCCAGTCTCAACATAAAACATATCTATATCAATGCCTCAGTAAGTCCTTCAAAATATACCCATAATTACCACTTCCAGAGCCACAACTATAAAAACTAAGGACAGCACTGTCTCTCATCTGGGTGGTAAGAACAGCCTTTCTATGATGGTTTATGCTTAACACAGCAACAAGAGTCTATTAAAACTTTAAATGATATCATCCCACTGCTCTATTCAAAATCTCCCACTGGTTTCTCACCATGTAAAAGCTGAGTTTTGAATTACCTGGGACCTCAGGCTTGCCCCTATCACTTACAGCATCTCTTGTGTTCCTATTCCAGTGATACTAACCCTTTTTTTGATACTCGAACACATCAAACACACTTCCATCTTAGGGATCTTGCACATGTTGTTCTTTATGACCGGATACGCAATCTACATCCTCATACCCTTCAAGGCTCTATGCAATGTCATCATATTGGAAAGACCTTCCCTAACTTTACTCATCTAAAGCAGCACCGCTCCCAGCCAAGTCACTCTAAATCCATTACATCTTCTATAACTTTAGACAGCAGTTTAGCTAAAGCCCACTTTTTGGCAAACAATAAGCTATTTAATTATTACAAGTACATCTAACTCTATACTTTTATAATATTCCCTTCTAGTAATATTTATTGCATTTTACTCTGTTATTTAAATATTAGTCTTGTGGATAAGATGAAGTTATTACCTCATCCACAAGACTACAAGAGCAAGAACAGTATCTTATATTGCAATTTACTAGCATCTGATAATCAGAGCTAACATTCCTTAGACACTTAATACATACCAGGCACAATTCTACATATTTTAAACATAATTTATGTAATCCTTACAATGAAGATTTAAAAAAAAATGGTGTCATTTTCATCTTCATTATACCAAGAAAACAGACATAGACAGGTAAGTCACTTGACCAAGGTTATAGAGGTAGTTGTTAGTAGTAAAGCCAGGATTCAAACCAGCTCCAGACCCTATTCCTTAACCATTATGCAATATTGCCTCTTGGTTAGCTAATGGGATACAGTGCTAAGGAGAGGGATTATTTAGACAAAGACTCCCCGAGGAGGTGAGATTTGTGATGAGAATCAAATGATGTTGATCTAGTCAAGTTGACTAGGTAAAGAGTATCCTAAGTTTAAGAAACATAGAAAAGAAACCAAGAGTAGGACTAAGCAGGAAGGACAGGACACTGGAAGAGAGAGGGAGCCAGGAAGGTCAACAGGTCAACTACGCAGAAGAGTGTTAGGTACTAAGGATAAAAAGAAACAGGTGAGACAGCAGGATGTGGAGGCCTTAAGAGCTCTGATAAGGAGCTGGTTTTATACCAAAAGTCCTGGGAAAGACAACTGAACAATAGAGTGAAATAACTGTCCTAATCTGACAGTTGCTACTGAGCTTTCTCAGAATTAGCCCTCTTCACTCGAAGGGTGTCACAGTCTTTTGGGGGAAAAATAAGGTTTGTTATTGCTTTTGGGGAAATAATAAATGAACTGGACAAGACCATATAACACTGAGTCATGAGCATAAGAACATCTTTTACTTTAACTATGTAAATTACTGGGAGATTGAGGCAGGAGGACTGCAAATTCAAGTCCAGCCTGGGCAACGTAGTGGCTCAGCGAGACCAGTTTCAAAGAACTTTAAAAAGGGCTAGGATGTAACTTGGTGCAAAGGTGCTGGGTTCAATCCCCAGTATTCAAAAAAGAAAAACAGGGGCTGGGGATTCAGCTCAGTGGCACAGCGCCTGCCTGCCAAGTGCAAGGTCGTGAGATCGATTCTCAGTACTGGAAGAAAAACAAAAACAAACCAAACAAAAAAGAAAAACAAAAAAAGAAAGAAAGTTACATTAGTACAGAAGCAAACGCAAAAACATATTGTTGATGGATGACACAGTGTTCAACACCACTTTTAGGGTAAACAGAAAAAAGAAAATTCACGAGAACAGTTAAACCAATCACTTAAGCAACTGTTGAACTCCTTTAATGAACAACAGTGGCTGTGAACATCATTGTTAAAGTCCTCCTTAGGAGAAGCCTTACAAATATATCTGTTTTGAAAATGGCACTCAGAAAACTACCAAAGGGAACACAGCAGGCCCACTAACTGGTGTATTTAATTTTTATATATGTGGCACAGGACCATACTGTATTAGTAAATGTGTGAGGCAAGTAAATGAATTCGTAAGAGCTCCACTGTCCTTATGTATAAAATGTATTTCAATTCCTAAACAGATATACACACATACCTCCTACAACACTTAGAACAAATCCAAAAATATGAAAACATTAAATGAAAATAAGCATAAATCATGTTTTAATACAGATATTTCTTGTTTAACGACCTACCTGGTTAATGACTCTCCAGAGTTACAAGCCATCATTTTTCTGTACAGTTCTGTATGTCTTGTATACAAAGCCTTAAAGTCTTTTTATGTACAGTACACCTTGTTTATATAATACTGTAATTTTTGCTGACTGTACTGTATAGTACAGTACAATTTTATGTTCTTACATATTACAATACTGCATTAAGAGTTATACAAATAAAAGCAAAGTCATCAAGTTGGAGTTTCCTTTGACCATTGCTTTGTTCTGAACACTTTTTGTAAAGTACATACTATACACAACTCCTCATTTAGCAACCTAGTCACAGGACTGGAACACACATATTAAATGGGGAGTTTCTGTATATGGATCAGTAAGTACAATGAAACAGAATTAACAGCTTAATGAGACAAAAACTGACTAAGGTTTTGAAGCTACATGTCAAAAATATAATTATAAAATAACTGCATATTTGGAGGATATCCAAATATAGAATCTTAGTTAAAAATATAACAAGCATTCAAAAGTAAAATACTGGACTTTATATCAGGAGACATGAGTTTCAAATGGCTTCTAATTCTCTATCACAGTCAATATTCACCAGTTATCAAAGTTTCCATTTTACTGACTAAAAAATTATTTAACTAGGTTACCTACCAGTTTTTTTTTTGTTTTGTTTTGTTTTTTTGCAGTACCAGGGATGGAACTCGGGACCTTGCGCTTGCCAGGCAGGTGCTTATGCCATTGAGTTATATCCCTAGCTCCTAGTTTTTAAATTCTAAATACTACAAGTCATGATTTGGCAAAATATCTTTTATCAAGACTGGTTAAATGTATTAAACTAGATGGTCTATACAAGCTATACTGAACCTCTGTCAGTATTTAACATGATATATATGATATAAATGAAGATTTATCACACATCTTCCCTCCGCAATTTTTAAACTGAAAATATTCAAATGTAAGGGGCCAACAGAAAAAAAATAGTCACACTCTGTAGTGACTTTATTTTCTAAGGAACAACTATTACCGAGGCTTCTCAGAGGATTTATATACTCCATTCATTTTCATATTTAGCTATTAAAAAACCTGAATTTCTTACCAACCCCTTCTTCAGTCTTGGGTTTTATCATTATCATCATCATCATCATGCTGAAGACTGAACCTAGTGCCTCATTGTATTAACACATACTTTACCACTGAGCTACACTCCCAAGCCCACTTATTTATCTTTTAAGTGAAGTATTCAGTTAGAAAAATTATCTCTAACTGATACAAGTTCTTGTATGAAACAGGATGGTAAAGATTTTTTCATTATTTAAATAAATACATCAACCAAAAGCAACAACCTACAGGACTAAACATTAAACATCAAAAGTTACAAAATTCACTTTTGACTCTACTTTCATAAGAGCATTCCTTCTTACCTGATGAAGAACTTCCAGAGTAACAGGGTAAAATAGGTTTTCAATAATTATTCGAAGTACAGGGCTCTGCCCAGGTAGGATTGTGGCTTCATTTGAAGGAGCTCCATGAAGGGCCAGATTTCCTGACTGGACAGCACTGACAGCCTGCAGTGCAGCTTGGGCTCTCTAGAGAACAATCCAAAATCAGCTTTTGATTATATGAAGATATTATATGAATCCCCCCCAAAATCAGTTGATGTAAAGTAGTAAGTAACAGAGATCCATTTCTTCAAAAAAATGCAAAATATAATGCACATACATACACACAGCTATCTGGACATACACTTATCTGACCATGGGGGTGCACACCTTTAATCCTAGCACTTGGTAGCCTGAGCAGAAGGATCACCACAAATTTGAAGCCAGCCTGGGCTGCACAATGAGTTCAAGGCCAGCCTGAACCACATAGTAAGACCCTGTCTCAAAATACACACACATCTGAGCAACTTCACTGAAGATAACATTATGTAATATAACAACCAATGTTAATTCCTATCATCTCGTTTTGAAATCCTGTATTGTTTTTATATTGTTTTTGTCTTCATTATTGTTATTCTGGTCTTTTTCTCTTTAAAATAAAATAAAACACACATATGTTGCTTAAGTTTATTTGAAAAGATGAAAAAAATGTGGAAAAAAATATTTCAGATATAACTTTTATTTCCTAATTTAAAAAAGACAAAGAGCAAAAAAGACAAGAAAGTACTATTAAAGACCATGTAAAAAATCACAAGTCCCTCTTCTTTTTCACTCTTCTCCTCCTTTCTCTTCTTGAACAACTCAGTTCTATCCTTTGAGTGGTATAAAGTAAATGGAAATGAGGAGGAGGAAGAGGAGGAGGAAGAGAGGTGCAGTGGTAGTTCAGGGTGGAAAAAGGTCACCCACATAGCTGGGCTTTCTGAAATGAAGCATCATAGCCTCAACAAGGGGAGGAAAGTATCCAATTAGCAGAGCTGCCTGAAACGAGGAACCTAAGCCAAAACAAGGTAAAAAGGGTATCCACATGTAGAGACTCAATGTTCTATATCAGAACCTGAGGAGTATGAGAAGAGTAAGGGCAACCAGGCAAAGTAGCAAGGACAGTTAGGAGGAGGTCCACGTGGTATAAGATGGTAGTGTGGTGAAGACAGCTTAAGTAGGGTAAAGATGGGGTACATGGAAAGGAGTAGGATGGTACAGAGACAATAGTCTGAGCAGGTTAAGGAGGGAGGTCATTCACTAGCAGGGTAAACCTGGCAAGGGTTGCTAATATCCAAGTAAGGACAGGCAAACGTCTAAATATCATCCTCCACTAAGAGGACCTAGGGCATACTAAGATATGACTGGTTACAGAACTTGGGTAGGTCAATAAAGCAAGCTTAAGTAAATGTAAAAGATTTAAAATTATACCATACATATTATCAGATTCTACTGCAATGAAATTAGAAATCAATGAGAAAAGAAAACAGAAATTACGCAAATGCACGGAAGCTAAACAATACGCTCTTCTTCAATGAATTACAGAAGAAATCAAGGAAGAAATAAGACAGTTTCTAGAACTAAATGATGCCAGTAAACATAATCAGAATTTAAGGGACACAAAGCAGTCCTAAGAGGGAGGGTTACAGCTGTGAATGCCCACATGAGAAAAACAGAGCGAGCCCAAGTAAATTACCCAATGATACACCTCAAGCTCCTTGAAAAACAAGAACAGTTCAAACTTAAAGTTACTATAAGGAAGGAAAATGTAAGGATTAGACCAGAAATCAATGAACTTGAGACCAAAAAGAAAAAAAAAAAAAGAATCAATGAATTTAGCTGGTTCTTCAAACGAATGAACAAAATAGACATACCCTTAGCCAATCTAACCCAAGTAAAAGAGAAAAAAGACCCAAATCAATGTAATTAGCAATGCAAAAGGTAAAACCAAAACAGACCCTGTTGAGCCAGATGTGGTGGCACACGCCTGTAATCCCAGCACTCAGGAGGTTGAGACAGAATTGTCTTACATTTGCAGTCAGCCTGACTACACAGTGAGGCACTGTCTCAAAAAACCAAACAAGGGCCAGGATATACCTACTGGCAAGGGTGAGATCCTGAGTTTGATTCCCAGCACAAAAACAAAACAAAACAATACAAAACTGGGTATTTTGAACTCAAAAAGATAATATTAACTACACTGCAAACCTTTATGCTAATAAATGGGAGAATTCAAAACAAATGAGATTCCTATATATATATGAATTATGAAAACTGAACCAAGAAGATTTAAAACCCCCAAATAATCCAGTAACAGGCAATGAAGCTGAAGCAAGCATAAAAAACCTACTAACTGAGAAAAGCCCAGGGTTTTTTTACTGTTGGATTCTACGAAAACTTTAGGGAAGAAGATCTAACACCAATATTTCTCACTCTTTAATGAAACTGAAAAGGAAGGGGCATTCTCAAAATCACAGAAGCCAGCATATCTTGACTCGAAAACTAGACAAGGGTCCAACCACAAAAGAGAACTATAGGCCAACCTCTTTAATGAATATAGATGCAAAATTCCTCAACAAGATACTGACTGGCAAATAGAATGCAATGAATCACCAAAAAGATCATGCATCATGAACAAATAGGCTTCATCCCACGGATGCAAAAATGGCTCAATATATACACATCAATAAATGTAATAAATCACATAAACAGAGCCAGGATTTTTTTTTAAATCACATGATCATCTCAATAGATGCAGAAAAGGATTCTGATGAAATCCAACACTGTTTCATGACAAAAAAAAAAAAAACAGTGAAAAAAATAGGTACAGATGGACCTTATCTCAATTTGATAAAAGCCATTTATGACAAACCTACTATCATATTAAATGGGTTAAAACTCTAAGCTTATCCTTTTTTTTTTATTTTAAAGAGTAAAAGAAGGATAACATAATAATGGGGGGGGCTTACCAAATCTAAGCTTATCTTCTAAAATCAAGAATAAGACAAGAATGTTCACTATCACCACCCCTGTTCAACACAGTACTTGGAAAAAATAGCAAGAGCAATGAGGCAAGAAAAAGAAATAAAAGGAATGTGGATAGGGAAAAAAAAGTAAAATTATTATTATTTGTAGGTCCTCTACCTATAATCAAATTCAGTAATGTAGCAGGATTAAAATGAACACACAAAAATCAACAGGGTTCTTATACACTAATAATGAACTTTCTAAGAAATAAATTAGGAAACAATACCTTTCACAATAGCACCAAGAAAAATTAAATACATAGGAATTAATTGAACTAAGGAAAGACCTCTACAACAAAAACCACAGTATGCTGAAAAAGGAAATCAAGGAAAATGTAAAGACAGCCCTTCTTCCTGGACAGGCGGAACCAATATAGTCAAAATGGCCATACTTCCACAACTGATATAAAGATTTAATGTAATCCAAATCAAAATTGCAACAATATTCATAGAACTGGAGAAAAAATCCTAAAATTCATATGGAATCAGAAGAGACCCAGAATAGTAAAAGTAATTCTGAATAACAAGAGGAAAGTGGGAGGCATCATAACCCCAGACTTGAATTTGGATTACAGACCTATAGTGATAAAAACAGCACGGTACTAGCACAAAAACAGACATGAGGATCCATGGAACAGATTAGAGAGTGCAGGAGCAACCCCAAACACTGTCAACTATTTCATCTTTGACAAAGTGGTCAAAATACACTAGAGGACAGAAAACCACTTTAGTAAATGGTTTTGGGAAAACTGGCTACCTGCACAAGACTGAATCTCTCATTATGTACTAAACTAAAATCAAAATAGATCAAAGAACTAAATGTTAAAACAGAAACACTTAAATTGCTGAAAGATAAAACAGGTAAAACTCTTGAGTCACTGGCATAGGCAAGGACTTTCTGAATAGATCCCCAGTTACACAAGAAATAAGTATCAAGAATCAACAATCATATCAACTGTACAGTAATAGAAACAACCAGAGTGAAAAGAAAACCTACAGAATAGGAAAAAAAAAAGCTGCCAGTATTTCTCAGAAAGACTAGTATTTAGAATACAAAAGAACTAAAAAAATTAGACCTCACACACACACAAAAAGGCCCAATCAATAAATGGGCAAGTGGAAAGAATTGATACCTTACAGAAGGAATACAAATGGTCAGTAAATACACAAAGAAACGCTGAACATCTCTGGCCATTTGAGAAATACAAATTAAAACAACAGTGCGATTCTATTTTAACCCAGAAAGAATGGCCATCAAAAGAAATCAAATAACACATGCTGGCAAGGCTACAGGGAAAAGGGAACCTTTCTACACTGTTGGTGGGAATGTAAACTAGTACAACTGCTACGGAAATCAATATGGAGATTCCTCAAAAAACAGAAACTAGAAATTCCACTTGACCCAATTATTCCCCTTCTATGTATCTTCCAGAAAGAGTCAAAGATACCATGTTACAGTAACACATGCACACCCATATTTATAGCACCATTAAAGCTAAAGCCTGGAAGCGATCTGTATATTCATCAACAAATAAATGGATAAAGAAAATGTGGTATTTACACACAATGGAGTACTACTCTGTCAAAAAGACAGATAAATTTGAGTTATCTGTAGGAAAATGGATGTATTTTGAGACTATAATGTTAAGTGAAATAATTCAGACACACGAAGTTTAAATATTTCACAGATTCTCTTATGTAAGAAACAAATCCTAAATAAAAGGCAAAATAAAAGACAGATAATAAATAGGAATACAGATCAAATGGGAAATGGACCAAAGGATGGAGGGAGGGGGAGGAAGGAGAGTGAAAGGCAAGTGAAAGGTGATGAAAAAAGGAATTCTGATGTGTTATGTACGCATAGCAACTGCACAGAAGGAATGTAAACATATACCGCAAACATGCTGACGGAAAGAATGAACAAGCAAATGAACAGGGGCAGGTAAAGCACACAGTTGATGTGAATGTTTTTGTTCTGTATGTTTTTGTTTTTGCCAAAATGCAAGCAAGTATGGAAAGAACAATGGAGATATAGCAAAAGGATACAGAAGCCAACTTAAAAGGGTTCCCACTGTCCAAATCTGGGATAATTTGGGCACCAAAATAGTAATACATTTATTTTTTAATTTTTAATTTTAAAGG